AGGAGTAGTGCCCGAGGAGCCATTAGGGGAGCTCATTTCCTTGTTTGTTGCCATGTCTTGTAATGATCTTAAAAAAAAAAAGTTAGAGCTTTCCCCTGTCAGCTCTCATACCATGTTGGGCTGAGAAAGCCCTTAAGGATCTTTGCAGAGGATAACTCTGGGTAGGATATTTGTAATAGCGGAAGCGTTTAATGAAGTTTGTGAACCGACCTTGCACTAGTGTGTGAGAGCAAAGTGGATTGAATTAAACAAGCAAATACAAGGTTTTATATAAGAGTACAGGGAATACGAATGGATAGATAACTGTATTTGCTGTTGCGACTCGATACAGTGCGACTCGGGCAACTGCTCTGTAACGAGTCAGTTGTGTGTCCTTAACTGTCGCGGTGTAATTGTCGAGTCAAAGGTCGCTGACCTTTGACTTTCCCGTAACCTCCAGGCAGTTACCCTAACCTCCGAGGTTTGACTCGATGCTTCGATTCGGACTGCTTCGCTAGTGTCTTGGGTTTTGACACGACAGAAGCGCACTAAGACTTATTGTTTCCAACAAAAACATCCTGTTCAAATGGCTGGTGGTTGCTGCTAAGGTCACTGTCAGCTCTCAACCTAGTATTAGTAATTATGTTCACTCACTTTTACTGAGGTGGGTGCAACTTTTGTAGTCAGGTTAACTATATCATCGGTTTGAGGGGATGCAGTGAGGTATCGTCGGTTGAGTTCAATGTGCCAGGTTCTCAGCTTCTTTGTGGCCTACCTTCCTTCCCATCTGATGGGTCAGTGATAGCTGAATCTTGTGGTCAGCTGTGTTCGGGCAATTCTATTCTGACCAATGAACACCCTGACCCATTCTATCTGACCAATCCCCATCGCTAGACACAGACCCTGCGCTGGCGCCCCTTGGGCACAATAAAGCGGTTATAACCAATCAGGGAAGCGTCAAGATCTATCCAGTTGCTCCCCCTGATCGCCGTTATTGGGATTGGTTGGTGGGAGAAGCAGAGCAACTTGAGCTAGCTTTGTTTGAGATTTCAGCACAGATGAAGATACACCCTAATGCTCACTCAACCACCTACTCTGAACATGCCCACTGCCACTCCATACGCCCAGTGGTCGACATTCACAGCCAACGGCCCGCGCGTTACTAGCCCACGACAAAACTAAGATATTCTTGACCTCAAATAAGTTATTCGAGTTTCCCAGACAAGACACGCTAGGCTACCCAAATACAGTCCCATTCTCCCCATGGGGAGCGCGTGCTCGAGAGAGGAGCACAGGGAAAGATGGGAAAGGAGACTGAAATAGACATCAGGTGTAACGACTCACGTGCGATTTTCTCTAGGCTTATGGTCGCAGATGTTCGTCGCCCAGTTTTTGTCCCTCGAGGTCAGCGAATCAGCAACACTGGGAAAACCCGTTTCCCGCGAATCGCCCACGTTGGCTTCGTTTCACATTCTTCCTTGCGTCGCTGGCGGCGATCGTCGTGTGCGACAGGCTTAGGTAGCCACCTCAGCAAAACAGCGCAGCACAGTAAGCCACAAATCAGTGCGACGCGGTCACTTGACAACTGCGTCGCGGAGAACGACACGCAAAAAGTGCCACACGCTGATGCGATCTCAAGGAGACCCGCCTTCCCACTTCCCCCCATCTCCCCCCTCTCCCTGCATCACATCCACTAGTGAGCAGACTCTGCCAGCAAGACGGGGAAACGCGCAACTTTGATCTCCGCCAAACAGCTGAACTCCCACTCTGAGAAGGGGTGCGAGCAGGGCGCGCAACTTCCAGCGCCACACGCGCGCAGTCCGCGGCCGTGCGTTGGAACAGAGAGCTGCGCCGCAGGGGATTCGGTTGGTGCAGCTCTCCGTTGGATTGAGCTCGACGGGAGTTCTCCCCCGTATCTTACGCGTTTCGCCAGGCCCTTTCCAGTCGCAACTGGTCCGCCTTGGCTCCGTTGGCTTGTCTGTCTCGCCTGCTCCTCATAGCGGCTCTCCCTTTGCTTCGCGTGATCCTTCTTTCTGACCGTCTTTCCGTTTGGGGGCCCAAAGTCTTTCTAGAGATTTCAAGCCCACCTTGATTGTTGACTCGGTTTTGTCACGCCTGGGGCTGGCGAGACATTATTGTCGATAGGTTAGAAGTGGACTCGGTAGTCTACATTATTCTGGTTCTACCTACGTAGCTGACTTCGGTAGTCTAACTTATTCCGAGAGCTAACTTGGCACGTTTTAAATCATGGATCAACTAGCAGTTGTATTGGATTCTGCGTCTAGGCGTAAGTTACTACCCAGGGATCCATCCCCTACGAGAGTTTTAGTAAATCGCGAACTCTCTGACAGGCTTTCTCGAATCCACCTGTCACCATCATGGCCGTTGGTATGGAAGGCGCAGATGTCGGATTCCTTATCCTCGTGGCAAACCTGGGAGTTGCCAGCTCAGCCAGATAGTTTCTTATCTTTTCAGGCTGGGATAGGCGATTTAAGGCTAACAGCGTCTGACGGCGGTTGGGCTCCCTTCCTGCTCGCTCTCTCCGCGGTCCAACCGGGGTCGAGATCATTCTGCGAAGCTGCCGCGAAACAGCTTCATAGCTTCCTATTATGGGACGACTGGTTGAAACGGCATGGCTCTGAAGATGAATTTTCTCAGTTGGCAGTGTTTATCGGGGAGGTCGCTACTGCGGGGAAGGGGTGCATGGGAGGATGCAGAACAGAGAGAAGACATTTAAGCTCGTTCCCTCGTCGGCTTGACTGCAAGTATCCGTTGAAGTTGGAAGCATTTGTGGGATCGCTGTCAGTTCTGCAATCCAGCCAGGGTTCTGATAGTCTAGTAGATCGACCAAACGGGGACTCTGCGTCCTGGCTGAAGCGATACCTGAGCTGCTGGTCAGCGTACAGCACGGTAAGCACCATTTCATTCCGCACCCTTCACCTGAAAACGAAGTACTTCAAAGTGAACATTCACTCATCCAGTCGATATCTCTGTCAATGTCCGAAGTCCCAATGTTGTTTCGTGATGCTTGGTGCTTACTTTCAGGCTGGGTTGAAGTCTCACTCCGCGCTACGGCAATCCTTAGAAGCGGGACAAATACCCACTCTCCACGAATACCTCCTATACCGAGCGACAACAAACGTCGCCTGGCCGACAATGCTCCTCGCGGCGACTCAGCACCACCTCCCCCCTCTCTCCGATTCCTCCTTCCAAGCCCTCCTCCCTCTCATCTTCACCGCAGCCGCTCTCACAGCTCTCTCCGCTGATTCCCTCCTCGTGACTCGTGGCAAACTCGCCACGTCAGCTTCCTTATCCGCTGCCCAGCTGTTCGACGGGGAGACGAATCTTCTCCTCCAGAACTCCCTAGCCGTCGCTTTCTCTGCTGTCGCCAGGCGGATCGAACTGGAGGCGGAGGATCTGCCCAAAGGTGACGAGCGCGCGTCGTTGCTGGGGTTTGTGCGCGTCGCTAAGAGCGCCGTTCACGGCGTCATGGCGTGGTACGGCTGCGCATGGCGATTCCGAGCCCAGCCGGCTGCGAAAACGGCGACGGCTGAAGCTAACCCTGGTTCGGATGATGAAGGGGATAAGATTACCGTGGAGGGATGCGGCGTGGAGTTAATTAACGACGTGCCTCAATGGCTTATGGATGAGATCGAGACTGCTGCTGGCGACTTCTCTGCGTTGCATTAATGGGGGAGTGTGGGGGAGGGCCTTGTTTGACAGCTGAGGTTGGAAGTTGAAGTGGGAGGATGGGGAGGGAGGCGCGCCAGCGTCAGTGCTGAAACGCCGGTTCTTTGGTCCTGATGTTGAACTGGAGGCGCTGCTGATGTCCGTGATGCTTGTGGTGCATCAGGTGCTTCTGTTGACTTGATGGTGAAGATCTTCTGATGGTTTCCAGCTGCAACAGTACCCTTTGGCCAGTGATTTGCACTGCAATCTGTTGTCCTGCCTGCCACCTCTTGTATCTACACCCCCTCTCAGCTGCGTATCTAGGTCCTTGCACTATAACTGCGTGTGTTGGCGGTCATACTTAACCATAGGCTAGATGAGAGCAAAGTTGTGAACGGTTTTGGGTCCATTACTGGGTGGTATCTGGTCTTCCGGTGATTGGTGCCTGCATGCGAATGGCATGAGAGGCACATTCCTCCTGTTCATGTGATAGGTCCTGTACCCTGTACAGAGCTACAGAACAGTGAGCCTCTTCCCCTGTTGTAGGGGCTGGAGGCCAGTTGCTGGTGGGAGCTATAGCTGCAGCCTCAGCAGCCTGATGTTGCATCAACTCCTGTTTTAGCATAAGCTATACCTGAGCCAGATGTTATTACCATTCCATGGATGTAGATGTTCAATCAGTTGGTTCAGGCCAGGTGGTTGATGTGTGGCTTCAAATACTGCTGTACGTTTTTGTCATTCCACATATTACAGCATCAACTACCAAGGAACAGCAAAATCGAGGTAGTGTATTCCAAAACGTAAAACCAGACTCTCTGTGTCGGTTGGATACGGTAGATATGTCTCCTCCTGTGCTACAGCACATGAAGATCTGACACCTTTTCCCATCAGCGCCACGGCTCGTTGATCAGACGGGTATGGGTCGAAATCGACCCAATCGGTCTGGAGGAATCTAGATTTACGGAAGCAGATGTTGAAAGGTTCTGTCAGAAATCCTCGAATTTCCGTTGCTCGCTTCTTGACGCCGCCGTGCGGTCTCTACTAGTCCGTGAAGCGGTGATTCTCGTTTCAACTGCAACGTCGCCGTACGTGCTGTAGACCAATGAAACTGGGGATGCGGGGAATCGTTTCCAGTTGGAATGACCGAGCGTTCAGGGCTTTAACGAACGTGCTGTACCCTCCTAATTTCCTCCTTATGGGCGTTTTCTGGACCTGGTATGTCCTCCTGTCGCACATCCGCGTGGCGTTTCTGCGAAATGGCAAAGTTAGTTCGCGAAATCCGTTACCAGGAAGTAGATCGGAGGCGTCGCGAGCAGGGGAGGATAAGGAGCATGGCGATGACGGAAGAGAGTATGGACAAGTGGAAGGAAAGAGAGGAGACACAGGAGAGCGTGGAGAAGGAGGAGGAGGAGGAGAAAGGGGAGAAGGAGAAGGAAGAGGAGGAGGAGAAAGGGGAGAAGGAGAAGGAAGAGGAGGAAGTGTGAGCGGAGGAGCGCTGAGAGCAACGTGTATTGTGACTGGGGTAAGTCATGATTCGCCTCACACACTGAGAGAAACATGCCTTGTGACTGGGTGGGCATGCGATATGATGGGATATGATATGATGGGATGGGATGGGATGGGATGGGATGGGATGGGATGGGATGGGATGTGATGGGTGTGGTCTTATCGAGAGATGAAGTGATGTGATGATATGTGATGTGATTTAATGGGATGTGAGGTGAGGTGTGTTGTGTTGTGATGTGGTGTGATGAGATGTGATGTGATGTGTTGTGATGTGGTGTGATGAGATGTGATGTGATGTGATGTGATGTGATGTGATGTGATGTGATGTGATGTGATGTGATGTGATGTGATGTGATGTGATGTGATGTGTGGTGTGGTGTGGTGTGGTGTGGTGTGGTGTGATGTGATAGTCTGGTCCGTTAAAGACGTAGTGTGTGATTCTTTTCCTGGTATTATTGCACCTTGTGTTACAGCTGTCAATCCCTGACACAAAGTTCTTGTCATTTGGAAATTGCGCAACAATTCAGCTTCGCTCAGTCGTTATTGGATTGGCTGTTGGGTTTCTTGAATTTCTTTTTATTGGGTGATTGGTTTGCCAGGCCACGTCCGGGCTGGGGAAGGAGGCAGCAACAGCGCTGGCATCTCTAGGCACCTTCCATGTGGTGATTGGTAAGAAGTGTATGACGGGTGAGGTGGGTGCATGATTGATTGCTGATGATTAGGCATGTGGTGATGGGTGAGATGCAGACGATGGGTGAGACGTGGATGATCAATTGTAGATGATCAGGCACGCAGTGATGGGTGAGATGCAGATGCTGAGGCGGTAGATGTTTAGGCATGTGGTGATGGGTGAGATGCTAGGATCGAATGCATTTGTTTCGCCAGACGCTTTTTTTATATCTGGGCATCCAAGTCCGTTTCAGAGCAATGAAAATTCACCAAAATATTTCCAAGGTACTTAAAAGTCACTTTCCTATCACCACTGCTGCTTCTCCCACCCCCTGTGCTGCTGCAGGATGCCGCTCATTCAAGCGTGGTTACCAGGTGAGATTGGTTTAATGAGGTGGCTACAATAAGTGTTTTTTTTCCATTTAAAAAGATTCTATAACAGAACCTGCATGAGTATTTATAATAGTGCTGCCCTCAGTTTCTTAGCACAGCCAACGATTATCGTGTCACAACTTAGACGCTTTCCCATAAAGCATCCTTAGCCATCATGGGAACTCATGCCATGCCAACTCGTAGCCCCAAGCTTCAAGGGAAGCTCAATACCCTGGAAACTGTCAACCTCATGGAGTTTGTTTCGTTGTTCTAATACAACAAAAGTTGATGGAATTTAGACCTTCGCAGCCCACCTGTCCTCCCTTGATGGAACTCGTAACCCCAAGCTTCAAGGGAAGCTCAATACCCTGAAAGCTGTCAACCTCAAATCCGAAACCCGTGTCCTCCGTACAATGCCGCCCGGCATCCTGCCACGTGTTCCTCCCTTGAAGGCAGCTGCCGACATCCTTCGTCAGCATCCGCACGCGTCGATAGAGGTCCTGCCGCTCGACCTCTCCCGGCCGGCATCCGTTGTCCGTTTCTGCCACCTCGTGCGCTCGAGACTAGGGCTGGATGCGGTTATGACTGGTGCTGAGGAGGGGATTGAAAAGGTGGGAGAAAAGGAGAGGAGTATCTTTGGACTTCTCGAAAGCAATTCCATTTTGGAGGAGGCACAGCAGGGATCAAGGCGAGGAGGGGAAGAGGAAGAGAATGAGGGGAGGGCGAAAGAGGGTAGCCAGGGGGGTGGAGAGGAGCGGGGACTAGAGGAAGAGGCAGTAGATGAGGAAGAGGAGGAGGAGGAGGAGGAGGGGGAGGGGGAGGAAGAGGGGTTTCTGTGGGGCGAGCAGCAGCAGCAATGGCAGCAGCAGCAGCAGCAGCAGCAGCAGCAGCAGCAGCAGCAGCAGCAGCAGCAGCAGCAGCAGCAGCAGCAGCAGCAGCAGCAGCAGCAGCAGCAGCAGCAGCAGCAGCAGCAGCAGCAGCAGCAGCAGCAGCAGCAGCAGCAGCAATGGCAGACGCGTATGGCTCAATTTCCCTCCCCCATGCCTCCCTTATGCCTCCTTGTCAACAATGCCGGCATCCTTTCTCCTACCGCCTCCCACCGCTCTGCACCTGCCTCTGTACCAGTTGACCAGTACGATCCCAGCTCCCCTTCCTCCTTGCTGAGTGGTGACTGCAGCACCTTAACCACCAACCATGCCCCCCCTGCTCTGCTCACGCTCCACCTGCTAGCTGCCAATTTCAGCATGCTACCAACCAACTACCTCGGCCCTGGTCTATTCGCGCTCCCCCTGCTGCCCCTCTCGTATGCCAGCCCGTCGTTCGAATCGCCCCTCGTTTCCCTTGCTCATCGGTGTCTGCAGCATCCTACCCACCAACTATCTCGGCCCGGTCCTGCTCGCGCTCTGCCTGCTGCCCCTCGCCATTCCGACCTGTCCTTCCATTCCCCATTGTGAATCCCCTGTGTCCTCCCTCCCTCCTCTGTCATCGCAGCATGCCAGCAACCAGCTATCTCGGGCCTGTGCTACTCACGCTCCGCCTGCTGCCACTCAAACCTTCCTTTCCGTCTACTCCTTGTTGTGATTCCCTCCTGTTTTTCATCCGTCCTCTGTCATCGCAGCATGCTTGCCACCAACTACCTCGGGACTGTCCTGCTCACGCTCCGCCTGCGCCCCTCACATACAGCCACCTCTCTGCCCCTCTCGTCTCCCCCACTTATTGGTCATCGCAGCATGCTAGCAACCAACTATCTCGGGCCTGTGCTACTCACACTCCGCCTGCTGCCGCTCATGGGAAGACGAGCGCCCTCCTTACAAGCACATGCACATGGAGGGAACAACACAGGCGCATGTGGGGAGGCGGAGGAGAGACTGAAATGCCGCGTAGTCAATGTGACTTCCTTCACGCATAGATCAGGTGAACCATCCACATGATGTTTTTTTTTGTGTGTGTGTGTGTGTGTTTTTTTTTTTTTTTTTTTTTGGGGGGGGGGGGGTGGGGGGAGTGGCGGGGGGGAAGGGGGTCGCATGCAACGTTGCCTAGAAACGTTGTGAGGGAATCGATGGCGAGAATGAGTAGTAGCTGCATTGTCAATGTGACATCCCTCACTCATCAATCAGGCATGTTGACAAACGCATTCATGGAGTCGACCCCGGCAGTAATTTACCATCGAATCAACTATGTGAAGCATTACCAGCAGGCGACCCCCAAAACACCCCGGCGCTGCTGGCAATGCTTGACACGGGTGATTGTAGAACAGTACATCTTCGGACATAATTCCAGTCAGCAGCGCTGCTTAGGAGTAGGTTTAAGCAAGTAGGAAAAGCCTACTTCACACAGGTGATTGTAGAACAGTACCCCCTTCTGTGCCCTCTCTCGCTACATGTGTTGCGCTGTCATATAATTAAGGCTCTCTGCCACCCTTCCTCTTCATTCACCCCCTCCTCCCCCCTTTCCTCCAATACCAGTGCGCCAGCTGTACGTGTCTGACGTGGCATCTCTAGCAGCAGGCGCTGCTGCTCCTGCCAGCGCACCTGCGCCTCGGTTCTACCCTGCAGCCAGCATATACCAGGCCTCCAAACGTATGTATATAGATATGTTTTTTTACACACATAGTGCATGTACGTGTATGCTGTGCATGGTGCATGCTCGCACGCTCCTGCCAGCTCACCCGCGCCTCTGTTCTATCCTGCAGCCAGCATATACCAGGCCTCTAAATGTATGTATGGTCTTATTATAAGGTCGCAACCCCAACCTAACGTGTGTATGGACGTACGTGTGCGTGGCATGTGTATGATTGCATGTTCCCTCTAGCTCACCCCCACCTCTGTTCTACCCTGCAGCCAGCATATACCAGGCCTCCAAACGTATGTATATAGATTTGTGTTCTGTGCACATTCTGTAAGTCCCCAATGCCGGTACCTGCACTAGCTGTGTGAAAGTCCCCAATGCCGGTACCTGCACTAGCTGTGTGAAAGTCCCCAATGCCGGTACCTGCACTAGCTGTGTGGTGTGGATACTGCATGCTTGCTTGCTTGCTTGCATGCTCCTCCCACCTCACCCTCGAGGTGACTTTTGAGTCGACTCGACTTTTGAGCGGACTGAAAACGATACCTGCACTAGCTGTGTGGATACTGTATGCTGCGTGCTTGCATGCTCCGCCAACACGCTCCAATGGCTAACTTCGTTTCTTGCTACTCTCTGCTGACTTCCTGCCTGCAGTGTGCCTGCTCCTCTTCTCACTGCACCTTCAGCGTCTCCTCCAATCAGAGCCCTCCACGTGTCACATCTCTGTGGTGTAAGCCTCTCTCTCCCTACACTTTCTCGTGTGCCTACCTCCACTGCCCTTACCGTGTCTTAGACTTCGCAACGGTATGTTCTGTGCTCATGTGTCACATCTCTGTCGTGTAAGCCTCTCTCTCCCTATACTTTCTCGTGTGCCTACCTCCACCAAATTTACCTCAACTGTTTTCTATTTATTCCCATGTGTATAATTCTCTTCTGCCCTCAACTGCCCGGCTTTCCTTATCGCCACCCCTTGCAGACCCATAGACCCCGGCATGGTGTGCACTGCTGTGCTGAGCGTTTGAGAATTCTCAAAAACTCCCTGCTTCCCTCCTTCCTCGCAGCCACAGTCAACACAGCCCATGCTCTCTCTTTGCTCTTCTGACCCCTATCCTTCCTCCCCCCCCCCTTCCTCTACAGCCACATAGACCCTGGCATGGTGCGAACTGCCGTGCTGTGTTAGCTGCCCTCGTTCCTCTCTGCCACAGTGAAATACAATCAACACAGCCTTTTGAGTCGACTCAAAAGTCAACGTTCCTCTCTGCCACAGTGAAATACAATCAACACAGCCTTTTGAGTCGACTCAAAAGTCAACGTTCCTCTCTGCCACCGTGAAATACAATCAACACAGCCTTTCTTTACTTCTTTCCTTCCCCCCCCCTTCCAGCCACATAGACCCTGGCAGAGAGAGCTGCCCATGCCCCGTCATGCTGCGGGAGCTGCCCTCCTTCCTCGCAGCCTCAGTCAACGCAGTCAACTCAGTCAATGCTCTATCCTCTATTTCTGCCCCTCCCTTCAGCCCCATCGACCCTGGCATGGTGCGTACCGCTGTACTGAGGGAGCTGCCCTCGTTTCTCTCAGCCACAGTCAATGTAGTCAACTCCATCTTCCCCTCCCTACCCACTTCACGTGACCCCCCCGCTGCCTCCCATTCCAGACCAACAGACCCCGGCATGGTGCGCACTGCAGTGTTGAGGGAGCTACTCTCATTCCTCGCAGCCACAGTCAACACCATCTCTTCCTTGGCCTTTACTTAAACCCTCCTGTGCTGTCCCCCCCGCTTCCTCCCATTCCAGCCCCATAGACCCTGGCATGGTGCGAACTGCAGTACTAAGGGAGCTGCCTTCCTTCCTGGCAGCCACAGTCAACAACATCTTCTCCCTCCTCGGCCTCTGTCTGCTCCCTCGTGCCCTCGTCCCTCTCTTCCTCCGCGCCTCCACTGCTTCCCAGGTATGCTCTTTGACACTCTGACCCAAGTTCTACCCCATAAACACCCCATTGTTGCAGGTTGTTTGTGACGATTCTAAAAAACAACCCGCTTTGACTCTCTGACTCAACCTATACCCGCTTGCTACTCTTCCCTATGAGTGAGGACCCGTGGGACCTAACGTTCGTATATCCTTTGACATTCTGACTCAACCTATACCCCATACACACGCCAATGCTCTCAGCTGGCTTTTACTAGCCTCTCCCTCGCTCACGCCCTCGTCCCTTTTCTTTCCTCTGCACCTCCACTGTACCCCAGGCCTACCGTATTCTCCCGGACATAACACCCTAGGGTATAGCTAAAAATACAGGGAAAAAATGGGGGGGGTCTCCTCATAGGAAAAAAATACATAATACCCGGGTCTTTACATATGGCATATTTTAGTGTTAGTTTTTTTTTAATTAGTCAATGTGAGTGTTTTGCTGGTCGTTTTAGCATCACTGCCTGAGGCGCGAATGTGAGTTTCGGCCTCGAACTTCATCGCCCTCATGAAAATGCCATGTGGCACCTCTCTTGCCACTTGCAACGGAAGATTCACATGCACGTGGCAACAGAGAAATAGTGGGAGGGGGCAAATCTCGGCAGATTGTCTTTGAATGTACCGCGAAATTTCATTGAGGGAGAAATTCCCACGATATTCTTCCGTATTGCAGCTACACATTAACGACTATAATAATGAATCCGTAAGAAAAGGGGGGTGTTATAGAAAATCAGCCAAAAAGGGGGGTATAGTAGAAACGAGGTCTATCATAACACCCACCCCGCACAAGCTACCCGGGGGTGTACAATTATGGGGGGGTGTTTTGTCCGGGAGTATACGGTATTTCTCTCCTTCCCCTTGCTTCGCCCCTCCCCGTCTTCCCCCCCTCTCCCCCCACTTCGCCCTTCCCCTCGCTGCTGACCCCCCCACCCGCCACTTCCCCCTCTGTCCCTTTCTTACCTCCACTTACCCCCAACTTCTCCCAATTTCCTGTTTGACCAATGATGATTTTCTTGTGTATGAACCCTTGGCCTTAAATTCCCTTTCCTTTCCTTCCCTTCCGTTCCCTTGCCTTACCACTTCTTTCCTTATCCATCTCTTTCCTTCCCTTCTCGTACTCATTCAGGAGCAAGTAGCAGGGAAGTACCTGTTTGGAACCCACGCAATCCCACTCTCGCCCTCTCCACTTGCTCGTGATACATCTCTCTCCAACATTCTCTGGCGAACCACTCAAGACCTTCTCAACCAATGGGTGTCTAGATGAAATTAAGGAGTTTCTTCAGATGCTAGACATCAGTTTTTTCTATCAAATCATTGTTTGCCCCAGATGTTCGTTTCTGGGTTAGGGATTACTGTTATATTGAATGTATAAGAGATGATAACAGCAATATGGCATTTGCCAACAGGCTTCACTGTCTCGTTTATTGTTTTTGCCTAGGAAATGTCGAGGCTGAATTCGTGTTGGCCTCGGTACTGGTAGCTCTCTCTTCGCCTCCCCCGGCCTTTTGAGTCTCCGCGTTCTCCGCTCGCTCCCAGCCGCTGACAGCACCGGGTATAGTCTGTCAGAAGTTTCAGCATCAATAAGCATGGATGGTCGGGGGAAGGAGAGAGATGAATTAATCTCCTGAAGGGCATGACGGGATCGGAAAGGTACCCAAACGCAAGAACAAGTACTGAAACACTCATCACAGCTGTAGCTCCTTGTATCCCTGATTAGGGTCGCAGGGGTCATTGTGATAGCTACTGATTCTCCAGATAGGCGGAATCAAAACAAAATGCTGGATTATAAAGTGGAGACCTAACGGCATCTCGGTCGTTACCGACTCCTGACGGTCAACGCAGTCATCAACAAATCCTGACGGTGAACGAGGTGGTTACCAGGTCTGGCTTGTAGATGTTGTGGACGACAGATGCTCCGGCGAGCAGCGACGCGATGGCGACGGCGTACGATCGGATCATGACGGTTAGCGAGGCGACCAGAAATTGGGAAATGGAATGGCTACCCCGTTATCAAGAGCGTCTGGACAAGACCCTTTTGCTCATGAGTTTGTTTTGCTTCAAAAGCATCCGTGCGTCGTCATGTGCACATGCTTCGCTAATTAGCCGCAAGCTATGCCGTGCGCTACGGTGGATGGCTTGACGATCTTTACCTTCGCCTTCAATGCTAAGATCCTCCACATCCGACGCTTCGCTACAAATATACATCCACTTCATTCCGATGTACGAAGCAAGCCAAATGTAGTCGAATAAAACCTAAATAGAAACTACTTTCTTACAAGTTGATTCAACACTCAAATAGAATTAACACAATCAAAACTGCATAAAAAGACTCCCGGAACCACACAACGCCTTCAGTTTGTTTCAAATCTGATATATGCTCATAATTTGCCACCACCATGTGTAGCACATCCTAACATGAAGGTCAACAAATTCTCACATGAAGGTCAGCAAATTCTTCCCTCACACATGTCACCCATTATATACAAATCTACATAGGCTCTATTCCCCTCAGCCCATCTGCTGCAGCCACCACCGCCTGTTGTTGGGTCCTTTGGCAGTGCATAACCACCAACCATTAAATTCACCACCTATACAGTCACCCTGGTGACTATACACGGGAAACATGCCCCTTAGTCATGAGGGCAGAAAGAGATACTCAAGGAGGGAAAGATGCAGCAGGAACAGGGATTTACTGGAAGAAAAGGCACATCCCCATCACAGAGTTAACCTGGTTACCACATGCGAGCATGTCCGCATGCGCCCCTTAGTCAGGGAGGGAGAGGGTGGGAGCAGCAGGAACAGCCAGTTTGAGGAAGGGAAGACACAATCCCATCTCGCACATGTCAGGGAGAGGCAGTCGGATCACCACCGGCTCCCCATTCCCCCCGCCCCCACCTCCACCAGCGCAGAGACGGCTTTTGAGTCGCCTCAAAAGTCACCTCTTTAGTCAGGGAGCGAGAGGGTGGGAGCAGCAGCAGCAGGCAGCTTAAGGAAGGGAAGGCACAGCCCCATCTCACACACATCAGGGCGTGGCAGTCGGATCACCACAGGCTCCCCATCCTGCCCCACGTCCACCAGTGCCGTGTCGCCAGGTGTAAACGCGCCCTCCCTGACCCCGCTGACGTCACTAAGGGGTGCACTGGCGTCAGCAGCAGGGGTGGGGGCATTTGTTGCAGCGTGAGCTGCGATCACAGGAAGCAGCACGGAGGGAACGGACGGCAGGGATTCCGACAGGTCACTGCTGCTGACGTGGCGGTTGCGGCCGCTGCTGCTGCTCCCCTCAGCTGCCAGCACAGCCTCGCTGATCGGATCGTCGACCAACCGCGTGACGGCACGTCGCAGCGGGCGCGCCCCGTACGCCCTGTCGTACCCCTCTTCGCAGATCCGCTCCATGAGTGCTTCGGAAACTTCCAGGTTGATTCCTTTCAGGGCCAAATGGTCAGCCGACTCCTTGACCATCATGGTGGCAATCACTCGAATCTGGAGGGAAGGGGGACGAGAAGGGGGGAGAAAAGGGGGAAGAGAAGGGGGTGAATGGTTAGAGAGCCTATAAAACGTCCAGGTTAATATTCTCTTTGCAAGCACGTCAACCGACTGACTCCTTGGTCATCATGTTGGCAATCACTCGCATTTGGAGGGAAGTGTGGGACAAGAGAAGGTACAAGAAAAGAAAGGAGGCAGGGATGAGGGGTTTGTTGCATGAGCGCTTCTGGAACTTTCAAGTTGATTCCTCTCTTGGCAAACCCAACTGCCGACTCTTTGACATCATGTTGGCAATGACTCAAATCTGGAGGGACGGGGGGGAGGAAGGGGTTATTGTTTTGTGTGTTTCTGAAAGGTCCAGGTTAAGTCCTCATGTCGGCAATCGGTTTAGGAAAGTGAAGCTTTCAAACATCGAGTGAAGTGATGGCACTCGCAAAAGGTCAGCTTGCAAATGCACGGAAGAAACTCTTATTTGCGGTCGGGAAGGCCATGAGTTCACGACCAAGCTAGAGGAGCTGCTGATCACCCATGAGCCCATGAGCCCATGAGCCTTCTCGACCACACGAAGGAGTTTGTTGCTGTGGTTTCGCAACCTAACCTTTCGCGAGTGCCATCAGTTTACTCGCGTGCCTGAGAACTTCACTTCCCTGAGCTGTTTGAAGCGAGTCTATCAGCCGACTCCTTTCTTCACCACCGTGTTGGCGATTGCTCAGATGTGGGAGGAATGGGTGAGAGAAATAGGTGAATGGTTCGAGTGCCTCTGAAACTATCAGGTTGATTCCTCATGTCGGAAATTACTCGGATCTGGAAAATTGGGGGACCAGAAAACATGTGGGGGGGATGACGGAATAAGCTTCTGTATTGGCCTGTTGTACCACTCCTCCCACAAATCCGCGCCGTGAGTGCTTTCGAGAGTTCCAGGTTGATTCCTCTCTTGGGCAAGCCAAACAAAAACTTCACACCATCAAGTTGCAATCACTCGGATCTAGTGAGCTGGGAACCGCCAAAGGAACCGCCATCCCTTTTGAGATGTCTCAAAAGTTTTTTCCTTGTCAGGGCTGGGTACGGTACAGCCATCCCTGTCAGCCTTATCAGCGCTGCTCCAATCGATCCAATTCATCAGCCCATCACATCACCACTTCCTGATTCGATTTCTCTTACACATGAACGCCCGGTCCTCTCCGGCCTTTCTCAGCTGTCTCTCTATGCCCCCTCTCCACCAATGCAGTCATCACCAGATGACTTTCCCTCACAGCATCCTACTCACTTTCTTCACACACAAACACATCTGCCACTAAATTCACACTCTCACCTGCTCCCTCTCCAACGCTCGGAACACCACTGCCGCATATGGCCCGCATCTGCCTTCTGAGACAAACACACATATACATGCGCACGCACATGCTCTTTCCTTCCCTCGCTTCTCACCTGCTGCCTCTCCAGCGCTCGGAAAACCACCACCTTATCAATGCGGTTCATCAGCTCCGGCCAAAATGCGCCTTCAGCTCTTCCATCACCACCTCCCTCATCGCGGCATATAGCCCCCCATGTGCCCCAATGCTCACCTGTTCCTTCTCCAGCGCCCTGAACACCACCACCTCGTCGATGCGGTTCATCAGCTCCGGCCGGAAGTGCGCCTTCAACTCCTCCATCACCACCTCTTTCATCCCCGCATATCGCCCCGCATCCGCCCGCACCTCTCTCCCGCCACCTCTCCCCCCATTCCCATCAGCAGCCGCATAATCCCCTGGAGAGAGGAAGCCGATGCGGTGGGTGCCGCCCCTTGCAATGGCCTGGGAGCCCACGTTGGAGGTTAGGACTATCAGAGCATTCTTGAAAGACACGTGGCGGCCCTGGATTGGTTAGTGGCAAGGGGGAGGAGAGGGGGAGGAGAGGGGAAGGGGAGGGCATCAGAGGAAGCCGATGCGGTGGGTGCCGCCTCGTGCAATGGCCTGGGAGCCCAGGTTGGACGTCAGGACTATCAGGGCGTTCTTGAACGACACGTGGCGCCCCTGGATTGGATAGAGGAGGGAGGGTGGTTTTTGAGAGTGGGAGGGGGTTAAATATTTGGCCATACACAGGAGGGGCAGGGGGAGAGTCAGAGCAGCAGAGGAAGCCGATGCGGTGGGTGCCGCCTCTCGCAATGGCCTGAGAGCCCACGTTGGAGGTCAGGACTATCAGGGCGTTCTTGAACGACACGTGGCGGCCCTGGTGATTCGGGAAGGGGCCAGGGAAGGGAGTAAAGAAAGAGGGTGAATGATGGTGGGATTGCCGATGCGGTGGGTGCCGCCTCGTGCAATGGCCTGAGAGCCCACGTTGGACGTCAGAACTATCAGGGCGTTCTTGAATGACACGTGGCGGCCCTGGATTGGTTTACAGGGACGGCAGCGGGGAAGGGTAGGAGAGGGGAGTGAGAGCGAGGGAGGAGAGGGGAAAGTGGGGAGGGGGAGAAAGGGAAGGGGAGAAAGGGAGGGGGAGAAAGGGAGAGGGAAGGGGGTTAGAAGGAGGGCGACATTGACAAGTCTTATACTTTTAAACGAGCTAGCAATATTAAAAAAAAGATGAGAAGCTTAGAATATTGACAAGCTTACCTGCGAGTCGGTCAGCCGCCTGTCATCGAATATCTGCAGCAGGAGATTAAAGACGTTCGGATGCGCCTTGATAAGTCAAGACACCACACACAAACCCACCCACCTGCGAGTCAGTGAGCCGCCCGTCTTCGAAAATCTGCAGCAGGAGATTAAAGACGTCGGGGTGCGCCTTCTCGATCTCGTCCAGGAGAATAAGACAAAACGGCCGCCTGCGGACGGCCTCCGTGAGCTTGCCGCCCTCGCCGTACCCCACGTAGCCGGGCGGCGCTCCAATCAGCTTGCTGACAGCATGGCGCTCCATGTACTCGCTCATATCGAGACGGATCAGGGAATCCTCCTGAATAGGGATGCGATACGGGGCAGGAGTGAGCAACCTGATTGGACAAGTGGGGCCTTTGCACCCATGCATCCAGTCAGCTTGCTGGCAGCGTGGCGCTCCATGTGCTCGCTAGCTCATGTCTACACGGATCATGGAATCCTCCTGAATGGCAGGGAGTGGGGGCAAAGCCATGCGGCAGATGATGAGTCGGTTTTTGAGTCGACTCAAAAACCGGCAGGGAGTGGGGGCAAAGCCACGCGGCATGAAGGGGAATGAGGGGGTCAGTTGAATTGAACCATACATTCGACCAGCTTGCTGGCAGCGTGGCGCTCCATGTACTACTCGCTCATGTCTACACGGATCATGAAATCTTCCTGGAACGCAGTGGACGAGGGCAATGCGGCATGGAAAGGACTGTAGGGGAAAGCTATGACCCACACATTCTATGCATTCGAAGGGAATGACGCATATATCCATTCACCTTGACTCCAAATCTACAAGTGAAACAAACTCACCGATCCATAGTAGTGCGCCGCCAGCGCCTTGCACAGCTCCGTCTTGCCCACCCCAGTGGGTCCCGAGAACAGCAAAGCAGAGCGACAGACCTCCCCTCCCCCTTCAGCTCCACCCTCACCCACTTGACCGCCCTGTAAGCCCCCTTCATCGCGCCCCACCACATTCCACCACTGCAAACGGTGCCCACTCACCGATCCATAGTAGTGCGCAGCTAGTGCCTTGCACAATTCCGTCTTGCCCACCCCAGTGGGCCCCGAGCCGAGAACAGCAGAACCGCCACAGGCCTCCCCTCCCCCTTCAGCCCCACCATCGCTCTCTGGACCACCCAAGCAATCCCTCGAACCGCTTTCCACCACCACTCACCGATCCATAGTAGTGTGCTGCCAGTGCCTTGCACAATTCGGTCTTGCCCACCCCAGTGGGTCCCGAGAACAGCAGAGCCGCGACAGGCCTCCCCTCCCCCTTCAGCCCCACCCGTGCTCGCTGCACCGCGCGTGCTATCACCCTCACAGCCGCCCCCTGCCCCACCACGCGCGTCTCTAGCGCCTCTTCCAGGCCTGCCAGGAGCTGCTGGTCGGAGAGTGAGAGCTGCTGCAGGGGAATGCCCGTCCAGTGGGCGGCCACTGCTGCTATGTGCTCTGCTGTGATTTCAGTGGGACTGGGGGAGGGAGGAAAGTAGCAGCAAAAAGAAGGAAACGAGAGATGGAGTGAGCGGGAGTGCTGCCTCTCTCTAGCCTCTAGTGCCTCTTCCAGGCCTGCCAGGAGCTGCTGGTCGGAGAGTGAGAGCTGCTGCAGGGGAATGCCCGTCCAGTGGGCGGCCACTGCTGCTATGTGCTCTGCTGTGATTTCAGTGGGACTGGGGGAGGGAGGAAAGTAGCAGCAAAAAGAAGGAAACGAGAGATGGAGTGAGCGGGAGTGCTGCCTCTCTCTAGCCTCTAGTGCCTCTTCCAGGCCTGCCAGGTGCTGCTGGTCGGAGAGCGAGAGCTGCTGCAGGGGAATGCCCGTCCAGTGGGCGGCAACACCTGCTATGTGCTCCGCTGTGATCTGCGTGGGGCTGGAGGGAACAGGGAGATGTGGGCTGTTTTGTTTGCGAGAGTCACACAAGGGAAGAGGGGTGAAGCCCACGTGTCTTTGGGAGTGACTTTTGAGAATTCTCAAAAGTCACTCCCATATAGGTGTCTTTTTTGCTCAGCCGCAGTGCAGGTGGGTCAGCCTAATAGAGCAACCAGCAGAAGCAGCAACGGCTAGAATAGCAGTGGTAGTGCTGGCGTGGGTGTGGCGTGCGTGTGCGTGAGAGTAAGGAAATGGAACTCACCCCTCCTCCTTGTCACTGCCAGTGATGCCACTTTTGGACCGACCAGCAGCAGCGGCGGCGTCAGCAGCTGTTGTAGTGTCGGCAGGAACGTGGTCTTGGGAGAGGAATGAGGTGAGTGAGGTGAAGGGATTCTGGCGAGCATGGGCCTGCAAGGGGAGGGAGAATCGAAGGAAGAGAGAGACAAAGGAGGGAGGGAGTGGGGGGAGGGTGGCAGTAGACAAACGGGCAGGGGGAATGAGCTGCAGCAACAGCATCAGCGCCTTCAGCACCGGTGGTGGTGTTGGGGCGAGTGAGGTGGTGGTGAGAGAGGAAGGAGGTGAGCGAGGTGAAGGGGTTCTGGCGAGCATGGGCCTGCAAGGGGAGGGATAATGGGGACAAATCTGGAAAAATCTGATAAAACCAGAGAACATCTGATAAATCAGAGAAAAGGCTACAAAAAGCAGAGATAACTGAAACGAATCCTCACTAGCAAAATCTCACCCACTGTATATCGATCCACACCACATTCAACCAAAACTCACCGCTTCGTGTGCAGCCTGCGCCATGCGAATCTCCCGCCAGTACTCCTCCGCGCCCCTCTCCAGCACCCCACTCGCCCGCCTCCTCCTCCCCTTACTGCCCTCCACCCTGCTCCTACTGGCCGCCTCATCGATCAAGTCAATTGCCTTGTCAGGCAAGCAGCGATCGGGGATGAAGCGCGCAGAGAGGGTGACTGCTGCTGCCAGGGCAGAGTCACTGAGAGTGCACTTGTGGTGGGCTTCATACAGGTGCCTTAGCCCATGCAGAATGGCCAGGGCGGCTTCCTGGGAGGAGGAAACAGGAAGGAATGGGAGGGAGAGAAGGCACAAGGGGTGGTGCTGTGAGTCGCCTCCTGCCCTCACTCCCCTCCACCCTGCTCCTACTGGCCGCCTCATTGATCAAGTCAATGGCCTTGTCCGGGAGGCAGCGATTGGGGATGAAGCGAGCAGAGAGGGTAACTGCTGCTGCCAGGGCGGAGTCACTAAGAACACACTTGTGGTGGGCCTCGTACAGGTGCCTTAACCCATGGAGAATCTCCAAAGCAGCTTCCTGGAAGGACGTGGAGTGAAGAAGGGCATGAGAGGAAGACATGAGAGGCAGGAAGGTGGCGCTCCTACTGGCTGCCTCGTCGATCAAATCAATGGCCTTGTGGGGCAGGCAGCGATTGGGGATGAATCGGGCAGAGAGGGAAGGGAAGGAGCACAAGGGGTGGTGGTACTGTGAGTCATCTCCCCATCTATCAGGTCAATGGCCTTGTCGGGCAGGCAGCGATCGGGGATGAAGCGCGGGGAGAGGGAAACGGCTGCTGCCAGGCCGGAGTCGGAGAGAATGCACTTGTGGTGAGCCTCATATAGGTGCCTTAGCCCATGTAAAAAGGCTAGGGCGGCCTCCTGGGAGGAGGAAACAGGGGGAAATGGAAGGGAGAGAAGGCACAAAGGGTGGCACAGTGAGTTAGTCGCCTCCTCCTCCTCCCCCTGCTGCCCTCCACCCTGCTCCTACTGGCCACCTCGTCGATCAAATCAATTGCCTGGCAGCGGTCGGGAATGAAGCGCGCAGAGAGGGACACAGCTGCTGCCAGGGCGGAATCTGTTAGCACACACTGCTTTTTAAAACTCACGGAAGGATTCTCAAAGAAGCTCCAATCCAATAAGCTCCATTTTAGACTTCAGGCTCTAACTCTACGGATTAACCCAAGCTACCTGAAGTCACCCCGAAAATACACGTGGAAAATACACGTGGAAAATACACGTGGAAACCGAACCGAGCCATGCTACAGTGTTGAGTATAGATTAGCAACTCGGGTGGGGTGGGTTGGGTAGAGTCTACGAGGAGTGAGTTTGTTGTGTGTCTTGGAGTGAACCGTTTACAACACCGGGTTTTCGCGGCAACCTTTTCACCGGGTGTGCTAACGAGTTGTCGCAGTGAAAAGGTTGCCGCGAAAACCCGATGTAGTACACAGATCAGCCCACGATACACAGCAGCTCATTCCTTACAAACTCCATCCAACCCACCCCACACTCGTTAATCTATACTCAACGCTGCTGCATGCCTAGGCTTCCATGTGTACTGTCCGGGTGACTTCAGCGCCTGGCCAAAAAATTGTTTTTGTCCACCCTAAGTCAGCACGTCCACCCTAAGTCAGCACGTCCACCCTAAGTCAGCACGTCCACCCTAAGTCAGCACGTCCACCCTAAGTCAGCACGTCCACCCTAAGTCAGCACGTCCACCCTAAGTCAGCACGTCCACCCTAAGTCAGCACGTCCACCCTAAGTCAGCACGTCCACCCTAAGTCAGCACGTCCACCCTAAGTCAGCACGTCCACCCTAAGTCAGCACGTCCACCCTAAGTCAGCACGTCCACCCTAAGTCAGCACGTCCACCCTAAGTCAGCACGTCCACCCTAAGTCAGCACGTCCACCCTAAGTCAGCACGTCCACCCTAAGTCAGCACGTCCACCCTAAGTCAGCACGTCCACCCTAAGTCAGCACGTCCACCCTAAGTCAGCACGTCCACCCTAAGTCAGCACGTCCACCCTAAGTCAGCACGTCCACCCTAAGTCAGCACGTCCACCCTAAGTCAGCACGTCCACCCTAAGTCAGCACGTCCACCCTAAGTCAGCACGTCCACCCTAAGTCAGCACGTCCACCCTAAGTCAGCACGTCCACCCTAAGTCAGCACGTCCACCCTAAGTCAGCACGTCCACCCTAAGTCAGCACGTCCACCCTAAGTCAGCACGTCCACCCTAAGTCAGCACGTCCACCCTAAGTCAGCACGTCCACCCTAAGTCAGCACGTCCACCCTAAGTCAGCACGTCCACCCTAAGTCAGCACGTCCACCCTAAGTCAGCACGTCCACCCTAAGTCAGCACGTCCACCCTAAGTCAGCACGTCCACCCTAAGTCAGCACGTCCACCCTAAGTCAGCACGTCCACCCTAAGTCAGCACGTCCACCCTAAGTCAGCACGTCCACCCTAAGTCAGCACGTCCACCCTAAGTCAGCACGTCCACCCTAAGTCAGCACGTCCACCCTAAGTCAGCACGTCCACCCTAAGTCAGCACGTCCACCCTAAGTCAGCACGTCCACCCTAAGTCAGCACGTCCACCCTAAGTCAGCACGTCCACCCTAAGTCAGCACATCCACCCTAAGTCAGCACGTCCACCCTAAGTCAGCACGTCCACCCTAAGTCAGCACGTCCACCCTAAGTCAGCACGTCCACCCTAAGTCAGCACATCCACCCTAAGTCAGCACGTCCACCCTAAGTCAGCACGTCCACCCTAAGTCAGCACGTCCACCCTAAGTCAGCACGTCCACCCTAAGTCAGCACGTCCACCCTAAGTCAGCACGTCCACCCTAAGTCAGCACGTCCACCCTAAGTCAGCACGTCCACCCTAAGTCAGCACGTCCACCCTAAGTCAGCACGTCCACCCTAAGTCAGCACGTCCACCCTAAGTCAGCACGTCCACCCTAAGTCAGCACGTCCACCCTAAGTCAGCACGTCCACCCTAAGTCAGCACGTCCACCCTAAGTCAGCACGTCCACCCTAAGTCAGCACGTCCACCCTAAGTCAGCACGTCCACCCTAAGTCAGCACGTCCACCCTAAGTCAGCACGTCCACCCTAAGTCAGCACGTCCACCCTAAGTCAGCACGTCCACCCTAAGTCAGCACGTCCACCCTAAGTCAGCACGTCCACCCTAAGTCAGCACGTCCACCCTAAGTCAGCACGTCCACCTCCGAGGAATCGTCCACAGTCACCGGCTGAAAGCGCCGTGGCAGAGCGTTATCCTTCTCGCCCATACCATACCATAGCACAAAATCACCCATCCCACATCTGCGTTACAAGAGTCTCCCTCTCACCTCGGAGGGCTCGTCCACTGTGACTGGCTGAAACCGCCTGGCCAATGCCTTGTCCTTCTCGAGGTGCTTGCGGAACTCGCTGGTGGTGGTGGTGGCGATACACTGATGTTGGGTAAAGAAAGGGAAGACGGCGGGGGTGGTGGGGGGGAATTGGGTGGGGGGTGCAAGGGGGGTGAGGAAGGGTTGGGGGGGGGGGGTGGGGAGGGGTGAAAAGAGGGAGGAGCGGGGATGGGTTTCAGGCACCAAATAGATGCCCTGTATCATCCTGGCTTCCTGCCGTATTGTTTCCTCCCCACAGCATCTGCTCCAACCATCCTATCAGCAACAGCACCACCGCTAAAACCTGGCACCACCGCCCTAAATCGCACGCAACCGCTAACTCTCTCACCGGAATCTGCTTCCTGGACAGTGCAGGCTTGAGAAGGCTCGAGATATCCGATTCCGATCCCCCGCCGTCCCTGCTCCCACCATTGTATGCGCCAGCACCACCACCATCACTACTAAACCGCTCTCAACCGCACTCAACAGATGACTCTCACCTGAATTCGCCCTCGGGACAGAGCAGGCTTGAGAAAATTCTAGATGTCCAATCCCTATCCCCCCCCGTCTTGTCCCGTCCCCACTGCGCCAGCTCCCACCCACCATCGTATGCACCTCATCTATCACCAGCATCACCACCTCCGGGACCTGGTACTGGCTCGAACCGCACTACACCACACTCCACCGCTGTCTTCCTCACCTGAATCTGCCCGCGGGACAAGGCAGGCTTGAGTAGATTCGAGATGTCCAGTCCCGATCCCCCGCCATCCCTGCCCCTCCCCACGGCGCCCGCTCCCACCATCGTGTGCACCTCATCTATCACCAGAATCACCTCCCCCGCTGCTGCCACCGCCTCTGCCACCAAAGAGGTCACCCTGAGCTCTAACTCGCCCCGCTCTTTGGCTCCTGCCATCACACGTCCCATGTCCAGCGACAAGAGGCGCTTTCCCTGATGGATGGGGGGGAGCAGGGCGGGAAAGAGAGTAGGCCACAGTAGGACCGTATCGGCTCAAAACTCTGAGAAGGAGCTGCGAACCCTCCCTTCCTTCCCCTACCCCTTCTTCCAGACACTCACCTGCAGGAACTGCTGAAGAAACCTTCCAAGAAGCTCCATACCTGAAGGAACCGCTGAACAAGCCTTCAAAGGAGCACAATACCTGAAGGAACCGAGCAAATCATTCTCTGCAACCCTCAAGAGACGTCAGGCCATCCGACATGAGCAGACACTCCTGCAACGAGCCTGGAGCAACAAGACGTTTACCTGCAGGAACCGCGGAACGTAGTTCTCTGCGATCCTCAGCGCCAGCCCCTCTGCTATGGCTGTCTTGTCTTGCCCACCCCTGGGCTAAGCGCACAGGCCCTGCTACAAGCCTCGTACCAGCAAGCACCCACCCACCCTACAGCAAGAAGAACGCTCACCTGCAGGAACCGCGGAACGTCGCTCTCGGTAATCCTAAGAGCCAAGCCCTCCGCTATGGCCGTCTTGCCCACCCCCGGCTCCCCCAGCAGCAGCGGGTTGTTCTTGGTACGACGAGCAAGGATCTGAGGGGGATAAGGGATGCGGGTAGAATGGGAGATTTGGGAGGTGAGAAAAAGGGGAAAGCGGTTGCGTGAAAAGAGGGCTATACATGGCCGTCTTGTCCACCCCTGGCTTCCCTAGAAGCAGCTGGTTGTTCTTGGTAAGACGAGCTAGGATCTGAGGGGGATGAAGGGGAGACGAGAAATGGAGAAAGATACATACAGGCCACATGTTCTGAGCTGACTCGCATATCAACTCGGCAGGCGCGACTCTCAGAAAGGGATGACGGGGAGAAAGACGACGAATGGGTGAGTAGAGGAGAGGTGGGAAATAGACAGAACCTGCACCTTCTGTTGTAAATTTTAGTATAAATAACCAGTTTTAATAACTACGGTACAAAACTGGGACCCCTGTGCTGGGAACCTCAAAAGTCCAGTGTTGAGCTCAAGGTACCCTTATCCAGTAACCATATTTGGAAAATACACTCTCAAATGGTTACACTTGCACCTAGATGCTGTCACGCCCAAATACACTCACCCCTACCTTCCATTCGCTGCAGTGGATCTTAGATTCATCCAGCTGGTAAAACCGTGTCAAATCCCATACAGTCACGCAACACTCACTCACACCCCCATACAATCACGCGACCCTCACGACCTCCACCTCTCAGCCAATCACAAGGTCGATATCTCCCTGCACCGCCATGGCCGTTAGATGCATGCACCCAGTATCCCCGTTACAGTCACATCTCAACACAAGCACCCACCGACTATCCCCATTACAGTCACGACTCAACAGAAGCACCCACCAACTATCCCCGTTACAGTCACAACTCAACACAAGCACGCACCTACACCACCTGCGCAACCTCCTGCTCTCAACCAATCACCGGGTCGATCCCTCCCTGCACTGTCATGATCGTTAGATGCACCCACCCACTACCCAAGTTATAGTCACATCCACATTCAACAAACACACATTTCACCCACCTGCACCACCCGAGCGACCTCTTCTTTTCAGCCAATCATAGGGTTGATCACCCCTTGCACCGCCATGGCCGTTAGATGCTCCATAGAGTCACGCAACCAGTCATGATTCCACACAATCACGCACTATACCCACCTGCACCACTCTGGCGACCTCCACCTCTCGGCCAATCACCGGGTCGATCCCTCCCTGCACCGCCATAGCCGTTAAATGCACCTTCCCACCCACTATCCCCGTTACAGTCACATCTCAGCACAAGCACGCACCTGCACCACCCTAGCGACCTCCGCCTCCCGGCCAATCACCGGGTCGATCTCCCCTTGCACCGCCATGGCCGTTAGATCCGTGCAAAACTGCTCCAACGCGCTCTGCTGCGCTGCTGCTTGGTGGTGGGATAGGGAGGGATGCGGTAGGGTGGGTTGGGGTAGCGTGGGGTGGGACGGGTCGATCTCTTCTTGCACAGCCATGGCTGTTAGATCCGTGCAGAACTGCTCCAACGCGCTCTGCTGCGCTGCTGCTTGGTGCGGGAAGTGGAGAGATGTGCGAACGGGAGGAAAGAAATGAGAAACTCCTAGGCTCTTCTCCTTCCGTCACTGCCAGTGATATTGGTGAGATCTGCTGCGCTGCTGCGTGTGGGGGAATATGTGGGTGCGAATAGCTTGGGAGGAAGAGAGAGAAAACAGCAACAAAATGTTCCAACTCACGTCCTTTCAGTGACAAATGTTCCTAATCTTCCAACACTTTGCATTGTCGTGGCCTTCCTAATGTGCAGAAGAACAGCGTTAGAGCACTTTGCGCCGCTACTGCAGAGAAGTGGGGGAGAGAAATATGGGAAGCTGAGGAGGGAAAAATGGATCACAGAAGGCCGGCTTAAGCGATACCATTTTTTAAACGCCTTTATTTTGGGTGCCACAAAAATTCTGCACCTGAGCCGCTCCAACAAGCAATGCTTTCATTATGGTTCTATTTAGAATCGGATATAAACTGGTTACATGAATCTGCTCTGCTAGTTGATATCATTCCTGTTGCTTCGTTGCTTTATCTCGTTTCTATTTCGCCGAATTCGCACGTAAAGTCCGTGCAACACAGGAAATCGGTTTTCCCTTCTCACCTTTCTTCCCACGCCCCTTGCGCATTGGCGAACTGGGACCCTTGCTGCTACAGCGACTGGTGGGGCTGGTGGCGGGGCGCGAGGAGGGGTTGGTGATGGACTCGGAGGAGCGCCCGTCCCGGTCCAGCTCGCATTTGAGCCGTTGAGCCCTTGAGCCGGGCAAACACAGACACACAAGGGGAGCTCACTAGATCGCTAGAGCAGCATCAAACCAATACCCACCCCTCCCGCTACAACAAGCCCCGCATACCTTTCTTCCCACGTCCCTTGCGGACTGGCGAACTAGGAGGCTTGCTACCGGGACTGGTGGGGCTGGTGGCGGGACGCGAGGACGGGTTGGAGATCGATTCCGAGGAGCGCCCATCCCGGTCCAGCTCGCCCTTGAGGCGCGCTAATGCTGCCTCGTGCAGGCGATGCTGCTGCACTCCCAAGCTGAAAGTCAAAGCAGTCAACACAGAGTCAACGCCGTCAACACAGAGAGTCAACGCAGTCAACAGGGGACTTAGAGGGAGTTAGAGAAGAGGCCGTCCCGGTCCAGCTCGCCCTTGAGGCGCGCCAACGCTGCCTCGTGCAGGCGGTGCTGCTGCACTCCCAGGCTGCCAGTCAACAGAGTCAACGCAGTCAACACAGAGAGTCAACGCGGTCAACAGGGGAGAGAGAGGGGTTTGAAGGGCGCCCATCCCGGTCCAGCTCGCCCTTGAGGCGCGCCAATGCTGCCTCGTGCAGGCGATGCTGCTGCACTCCTGGGCTGAATGTCAATGAAGTCAATGCAGTCAACAAAGGGGAGAAAGGGGGTTAGAGGAGCGGCCGCCCCGGTCCAGCTCGCCCTTGAGCCGCGCCAACGCTGCCTCGTGCAGGCGGTGCTGCAGCACTCCCAGGCTGCCAGTCAACGCAGTCAATTAAGTCAACAGAGGAGAGGAACAGACAGAAAGAGTGAATCGGATGAGGGAGTGAGACACTACCGCTACCTACTCCAGACGATGCTGTACGCGACGTTTCAGGTGAAGTTTTTGCCACCCTACAGGCGTTGAGCATTCTTCTCACCTCGCAATTACCAACGCTGCTCCTTCCTGCTCCACTTGCACCAGTGCGACCGCCAGGTGTTCCGGCGCGATGAAGCTATGACTAAGACATAGAATTCCGCATTCCGTGTGAAGATGCTTCCCCCTAACACATGCAGTTTCGCCTTTCGTTTGCGAATCATGACACGCACCGGACCCCAAAGTCAACCTTCTCACCTCGCCATCACCAATGCTGCTCCCTCCTGCTCCACCTGCACCAGCGCCACTGCCAGATGTTCCGGCGCAATGAAGTTATGACGATGCTTCCGCGATTCTTCCAGTGCCTTCTCAAACACCCGCTTGCTGCCGCTCGAAAACGGCACCTCCGACGCCGGCTTGCCGGCCGGGAGACCCCCTGCGGCTGGCAGCCGACCGTCTCGAATTAATTCTCCGACGGCGCCCCGCGCGCTGCGGATAGTCATCCCCAAGCCGAGATAACCGCCGGGTTTCCCGCCGCTCGCGAAATCCTCCGCAATTAGGCCGAGTAAAAGCTGCTCCGTCGCGACCTCTTTTCGCCCGAGCACCTTAGCTTCCGCCTGAGCCATCATCACGGCTTTAATCGCCCGCTCCGTGAAACGCTCGAATACCGCTGTCACGACCGCGCGCCGGCCGCAAGTAGCGGCGTCGGCGGCGGCGCTCGCAGGGAGAGATGGAGTCTGAATATAACGGTCCGCAGCTTCGTGGAAGGCCGCGGCGTGAGAAAGAGAGGAGGAGGAGGGGTTGCTGGGGAGCTTCTGACGGTGCAGGCCGTCAAACGCGCCGAGAAAAACGGAGGACGCAGCATGGGAGCGAGTGGCGGACGAGTTTAGGTTGAGCTGACGCGGAAGGGGAGAGGAACGGGGTAGCGATGCACGGACGAGAGAGGAGGAGGGGGCGATAATTGCAGAGGAAAGAGAGGACGGGGAGAAAATAGACGATGGAGACGTCTGGCAGCTCATGGCGAATAGCGAGTGAGGTCCCGTGGAGCCGAATGGTGGTATTCAAATTTCGTCTGCAAAACTACAGACCGGTTTCTGAAGGCGAGAAGTCTCAGACGAAGCCCTTGTGAGCCGTCTAGGAGATAACGGCGAGCCCGTTGACCCTCTCACGAGTGCTGCTCGCAAAAAAGCTGATTCTGACCTAACACGCGGAGAGACGAACACAGACTGAAGCTGGAATTATGGACGGATGAGGAACTGAGCTATGCTGCTCAATCAGCGAGTTTCACCAACTTCAGATAACACCATGCAACGTTTGGATGCCTTACGAAATGGCTTTTGGGAACGGAAAAACTGGTGTGGTGTGGGTGAAGAGGGTGAACATCGTGAAGAAGCCAAAAAAAGTCTTCACATGCTGCCCGTCTTGTGTTTGCCTGCAGCATGGGTTTCGCTCTGCGAGAAAACGAAGCAGACTTGCGATTGCAGCGAGCTTCGTCACAGGTAAACTGGGTTCCCGTAGCAGTGGTTACCGGCTTAGTTACCAGCGAGCTTCATCCCGGCGAAACCGCAACCTCTGGTCCATGCCAAGAATGGACTGAACAACAGAAATCAGCAAAATCTTGGCTCTGACTGCCCGAGCCGCCTCGGTTTCTCAACACACCTTTCCGCCCTGTCATGGGAGCCTCTGCCGCATCCACGCGCTCAATTCCCCCACACTGCGCCATGCTGCTTGCCTCTCTGGCAGACCCCTCCGCTGATTGCCTGAGCGCAGCAATGAATGCGCGCCCAATCTGCCCATCTGAAGAAAAGCCAGCTTGATTTCGTGACAGGTGACGTGGATCCGCATTCGCAGATCCAAAGGCAGACGGGGACATGCTGCCAATGAGATCAATGCCGAAGTGAGGGAAGGAAGCTGATTTGCTAATAGCATGGGCGGTTTTTTGGGAGCGTTTCATTGGGTTGAACGACGTGTTATTCTAGGTTACCGCGTCAGCCAATTCCTCCCTCCTAGCCCCTAAAGTTATCCTCGTTACCGTACTCGGTGTTTGTACTAGAATCAACCGTACATTCTTGTGTGCCACTAACACGTTTCAAGAGCCTGACATCCAAATGTTGCAAAAAGAACTGCCCCTGAGAGCAATGTGGCGCATGAACGTCTTGATTGATGGGACAATCAAGCGTGTGACAACATTTTCATCACTCAAGCGTCCAATCTACATCCAAATCATCCACCATCTTCAACTGACGCTTGCAATGCAGCTTTTTCCCTCGATCTTGAGATGTCAGTGAAATCTTACTCAGCCTTTCCAGGATGGCAGCTTCCACATCTTTGATGTCCTCAACACCTAATATCTTGGAGCACTCTTCTTGAAAATGTGGATTGCTGGAATCCGCCACTATAGCTGCAAGGCTGGTTGCCAGATCCGGCAAGCAATTGCCAACCTGAAAGACAAACTCATCATCCACTGATCCACTCAACCACAATATAGTGAGCATGGTATCCCTTGTTTACCTTTGCTTGATGTACAGTTGAAAAATCTCCAGGAAGCTGAGTCTTGAGATGTTGTAACGATGCAATAACTGCATCCTTGACAAGCTTCAGAAGGATTTTCCGTGAAACGGCTTCAGATTTTTCACTGCTTTATGGAAAGTCCTCAAGAGGAGTTGGGTGCAACTTAGAATGCAGAACACGTCAATCCAGACAAGCAAAAACAATACGTAGGGTAGAGGGAGAGATAAAGCAAGAGATCCGGGTGGATGGGAGCGAGACGCATACGATGAGATATGTTGGCTGTGCAGATGGAGATATATATTGAGGTGCTTCTCCATATAACTCTTCTCGGTGTGGAGAATACCGTAAAAACTGTGAATAGCAGCATCCGCAATGCTAATTCCGAAACTGCTCCAGAGCTTGCTTTCAGACAAGGCCACTATGGGACTGGATCCATCAAGAAGGGGCGACCAGTCTTTGAACACCTTCACCTGTAAGTAAAAAGACACTTATTTATCCTTCAAAAAAAGGTGAAAGAGGATTAAGGTCCGTAATCTAGTTTTCACTCACGATGATTTCATCCTTCGACCCTTCTTCATACGAAGCAATGCAGTCCAAATTCCATGAGCGATGAGTCGCGCTACCTGATGCGATACATGGAGCAGCCTTTGTCTGCCCTTGCCCCGAGTCTGACCTAACATCACGTTCTAATAACCACGACTGGAGCACGCCTTTCTTGAACCTGTCTAATCTGCTGAGCTCAAAGGCTTCGTCATCTGGAGCATATGATAACTGTAGCACCCCGGGGGCGGCCTCTTTTGGTGCGGACGGTAAGTCATGGATCAATTTTAGAAACTCGTCACAGAAATTTCCCAATGAAAGGCTGATAGCAGTCTGAAACGTGTCATGGGGGATGAGGTGGTAATTCATGCCACAAGCAAAGAAACAGCAAACAGATTCAGCGTACCTGTGATTGAAGTACGGTCACCTGAACACAAAAAAGGTGTAATTTCAGTATTGATCATTGCGTTCGAGACTTGTGCCATAACATTGTGTACGCACCATCCCGATGAGCTCGTAGAGTCTCAACGCAGCATCCTCTACGACTCCATGAAAATCGAAAGAAACCTCGAAGCCAGAGAAGTAGGCTCCCTTTGGCTTCCCAATTGAGGGAAGTTGAGACCATGTCGGTTGACCTTCATCTAGAACGTCGACAACGTACCTCTTAACGTCGGTGTCGTGAATTCCTGTGACGACTACCCACATGAATTTTTCCGTTAATGAGAACCAGAAAATGCCCACGACACACTTACCTGTGGTCATCAATGCAACGGAGTCACCTGCGGAAAGGGGAAACCTGGAAACTGGTGAGTTATCTATCTCCCAAACGACAACTACAGAAATGTGCTTTGGTAGGCTACCGATAACCAACGGAATCTTGTAGGGTTCTCACCCCAGGCAATTTGTGGGAAACCAAGTGCCCCAGCCGTCTGCTGGAAGGTAGTAGACGAAATTAGACGATTGATGAAGGTTGCGGGATTCTTGTCTGCCAGAGGCTCTCCAGTGTGATTTATCGCAAATGTTCCTTTTGAAACCTCGACATTGTCTTCTGAGTTGACACCAGCAACTTTGACTAGCGAGATAGTGATGCATCTGGAATCTGCTTGATCTACATATCCAGATTGACAGCACCTAATGGCTTCGACGACCAAAGCGTGAATTGCGGCAATTCCGTCTAGCCTAGCAGTACAGACCTCCATCTAGCGTTTTGACAATGAGGAAACTCGACCCAAGCAAGCCTTGAAGGAGAGGATGATCGTTGTCGACTAGCTGTGGTATAGCGATAGAGTGCTCTTGGCTAGGAGTTTTGTAGATGTTCCCTTGGGTTCTCAGTGCTTGAGAACCACTCTGCAAGTGTTTTGCTGCTGCGCGAATTTGACGACACGGAACCTTGAGAATCGGTTACGTGGAATTGTTACGTGTGCAATTGAGTGAAGGAACGAGAATTGCACTATCGAAGCAAAAGTACAATGAGCGAAGGCATGAGCGAAGGATTATATAGCGAAACAATAGTGGTAACGGTAATGGACTGTGGTTGTCGCGCGTCGAGCCTGGGACTGAGGTTGGGAAAGTGTCGAAGCGTAGGCCCGGAGCGCGGGTTACCAGCCGAGCCGTGAGGTCGGGATGCGATGTGCGAAAAAGGCGGGATGATGAATGATGCGATGGTCGCGAGTGGTAACGGTGCTGACTAAGGTGCTACAGTGACGTACGCGCTGGGCAGGGACGCGAAGTAAGGAAAAGGGAATTTCCTTACACTACCCCCCTCCCCAAGGAGGCCCCTCTTACGAGAGCGCATGGACGTCGCGAAAATTTCGGCTTCGCAGATACTCGGTGAAGACAGGGTGGTTCTCAATTTTATCCAGGGGGACCCAGTTGTCTTCTGTGGGCGTTCGGTCCTTCCAGCGAAGTAGGAACTCGATCCTTCGGGCTCCCCGAGGGTCGCGGACGCGGTGGCTGAGGATTTTTTCAGGGGTGATGAGTGGTTCGGTTGGGGGACGTGTCATGCTGGCTGGGCGATTTCGTGGCAGTTGGCTCGTGGATGGGATGTAAGGGCGAAGTAGGCTGACGTGGAATGACGGGCTGACGTACCAGTCAGCGGGGAGGAGGAGGTGGGCGGTGACGGGTGTGATCATGTGGCTGATGCGAAATGGCCCACAATATCGGGGGCGAAGTTTAGGAGTGATGGGCAGGCGAAGGTTCTGAGTGTCGAGTAAAACGAGGTCGTCGGGCTGATAAGTAACGGGTCTGCGATGTCGATCGGCGTTGCGTTTAGCGATGATGTTTGATTTTTTTATTGCTTCTGCTGCCCTGGTCCGTGCTGCTTGCAGGATCTCGGCGAACTGTTGTGCTCGTGGGACGGGGTTGTCGGGATTTGGTGTCATGGGTACTGTTGGGTCCTGTCCGTAATTTAGATAAAACGGCGACTGTTGCGTCGTGGCTGATGGTGCGTTATTGTATGCGAACTCAATGAGTGGCAGTTGCTGTTCCCACGTATTCGGGTCGTCGCACGTGGCTCGAATCAGCTGCTCCATGGTCTGATTTGTCCGTTCCGTCTGTCCGTCGGTTTCGGGGTGATAGGATGAACTGAACTGTAAGCGCGTGCCGAACTGCTGCCACAGGTTCCGCCAGAAGTTGCTGGTGAATTTCGTGTCCCTGTCGCTGATGATCGACGCGGGTATCCCGTGCAGGCGTACGACGGTGGAGATGAATAGTCGGGCGGTTTCCTCGGCTGTGATGGATTTCCTGCATGCTGCGAAATGAGTCATTTTCGTTAGTCGATCGACGACGACCAGGATCGCGTCATTCCCACTCGCCCCAGCTGGTAACCCCGTGACGAAGTCCATCGTCACCTGCTGCCAAGCACGCTCTGGAGGCGGGATGGGTTGTAATTGCCCTGCTGGTCGCTTCCTGCTTGTCTTCATGAGCTGGCAAGTGGGACACGATGCCACGTGTCGTTGCACGTCAGTCA